GAGAAAACTACAAGAATGCTCCAAAACCCTGATGCTGAAAATATAGGTGACTGTGTAACAGCAGAGTACCGCATCAAAACAGCAAACTGTATGAATTTTAAAATGTGTATAAAAAAAAAAAAGAAGGGTGGCCGGGAGCAGTGGCTCAAACTAGTAATCCCAGCACTTTGAGAGGCTGAGGTAGGCAGATCACCTGAGATCGGGAGTTCAAGACTAGCCTGACCAACATGCAAAACATGTATCTATTGAAAATACAAAAATTAGCAGAGCATGGTGGTGCGCGCCTATAATTTCAGCTACTCGGGAGGCTGAGGCAGGAGAATCGCTTGAACCCAGGAGGTAGAGGTTGCAGTGAGCTAAGATTGAGCCGCTGCACTCCAGCCTGGGCAACAGAGCGAGACTGTCTCAAAAAAAAAGAAAGAAAAAGGATGACGCTTTCTTGTGAGAACATTAGACATAAAAGCGGAAAAAGAAACTGAAGAGTAAACAAAAGCATAAATTAATCCAATGATACAAAATTTTCTTAAGAGCAATGAACATAAAAGTGAGAACTCTGAGGATAAAAGATGATGATCCTGGGAAGAACTATTAGTTACATTTTTGGAAATGTCCAAATAGGAATTCAGTTATTAAGATGTAGAAAAGAAAATCTGGGTAGCTGAAATTCGATGCAGCGACAAGGACAAATACTGCAAAAGACCAGCTCATCACATTGTAAGAGCCATAGTGATCAAGGGCACATCTTGTAATGAACCTACCCCGGAGTTATGGAGACGGCCGCCAGCTGTTCCTGACTGAAGACTACTTGAGGCACGATGACCCAGAAAGTCCATATGGTTCCAAAGGCAAAAGCTTAATTAGATATATCACTTTTAACTGCATACATCCACATTCCCAGAAGAAAGGAGATTAACTGTAAGGCATATGTCAGGAGGGTGACTTTCAAACGTTGCAACAGCTCCAGAGGCTGAAACATGCTACTATTTAACTGTGGCTATGTTTGGATGGGAGACTTTCGGGGATGGTTATTTGTGTCACTCTTTCACTGCTGGTTAGATAAAACTTCTGTAATGAAAAATATTTTGAGGCCATCTGAGGTGGTTCACACCTGTAATCCCAACACTTCGCGAGGCTAAGGTGGGAAGATTGCTTGAGCCCAGGAGTTTGAGACCAGCCAGCCTGGGCAACATAGTAAGACCCATCTCTACAAGAAATAATTTAAAAATTAGCTAGGCATGGGGGCACATGCCTGTATTCCCAGCTGCTTGGGAGGCTGAAGTGAGGGGATCACTTTTGCCCAGGAGGTCAAGGCTGCAGTAAGCCACGATTGCACCACTGCACTCTAGCCTCGGTGACAGACTTATACGTTGTCTCAAAAAAAAAAAAAAAAAAAAAGCCGGGCACGGTGGCTCACGCCTGTAATCCCAGCACTTTGGGAGGCCGAGGCGGGTGGATCACGAGGTCAAGAGATCGAGACCATCCTGGTCAA